TCTCCTAATAAGAGGAAAAAATAATTTAAAAGTTCAAAAATTGAGTGAAAAAAGTTGCTGATACTGAAGAAAAGCATCCAATAAAATACGACATGCTACCACGTAGAATAAATGTATGTATTACACGAGTGAGTTTGGCGGATCCCAAAACGCACCGTCTCGATTGGCTGCCCAGACCCTCAGGCCCCACGTGTGGGGAAAACGAAAAGCATCGTAGTCAACGAAATTGACGGCCAGCTTCTCTGACAAGCTCGCGTGGGCCCCGATTAATCTTTGACCAGTCACACCGCTTTTCCTGCAGATCGTATTTCATTTTTCATTTTTCTTCCAATTATTCAATAAACCCAATATGTAAATACTTTGAATAATACATAATTTGTTTTTTCTGTAAATTAAATCGTTTTATCTTTTGTTTAATTATATTTTAAAGATATTAGTATAAATTAATTATTTCATATTAATAAAATTATTTAAAAATAATAAGTAATTAAAGTATATCAATGATTATTTTATATTAAAAATTAATGTCGTGTCATAAACATTTTTAATTAGATAATAAAACTAAAATAATTTTATTAATTAAAAATTTTACCGATTTTTTAATACATAAAAAGTATTTTATTAGAAAAGTGTATGGTGTATGTTAGGTATTAATTTAAAATAATAACTAGTTGAATTAAAATATTCATATTTTATATATGTCCTAATAATTCGAGACAACAATAAAACTATATTTTAAAATATTTCAATACATATATATATATATATAATGACATTGTACGGATGCATGCATGTATTTAGGCTAAAGAACTTTGGGGTAATAATACATGTTCAAAGTATATATCACGTAAAACAGTAGGCATGTTACTGAAAACAGTCGTAAATACCATTTTATCTACATAAGGCCAAAGCCACGTGGACAAAGTGGCAGCCTTTGACTTTAATTGTACACTTAGCTAACTTGGGAATATTTAATTAATTATAATATATATAGCTATAGCTATACATATATATATGTATATGTATATGTATAATAGTGATGCTATATTTCACATTAAAACATAAGCTTAGTTTCTTTTTGTTTCAACTACGAATATCAGTCATTTTGAAAGGAAAGAAACGTCAAGATTCAAAATTAATATTATTAGATATATAAAAACACTTAGAAGTCATGGATATATATAGTTCTATACATGTGTAAATATATAATAAGGTTGAAATTTAAATTAACTTTCCAACTTGAGTTATAGCAAAATTCATATGCATTATGTGATGAATATGATACATCCTGATTTTTTTTTTTAAAAAAAGAATAATATGATTTTTTAGAAGATATTTCCCCAAGTTATAGGGTAGTTTAGGTTTGGATACTACATACAACTAATTTTCGTATGTACTTAATGTATATTTACATTAATATATTGTTTTTAATACCATTTGTAGAATGATTTGTAAATATATATAAATATGTTTAATTAATTTTGTAATCTTTTAAAAATATAAAAATTATTAAATTCATGAATCACTTTAAACATTAGATACATAGATATTTTTGATAAATTAATAAATTTTTCATTTTAGTTAGTCAATCATTACAAGTATATTATACGGTAAAAATTTTATTCGTGTATAACTCATCTTATTTACTAATTACTATACTCGATTGTCGAACATAACCTAAATTTATTGCATTATCCTTTAGATAAATTTAACTATACGTTATGATGAAAGTAAATGAGGGAATTAGGGAAAAAGAGAAAGAAAAATGTTCTTTTCTCCCCTATTGAAAGTCTCTTTATTTTGGAAATAGTTATGAAGTGGCGGATTTATCCCTCTATTATATTTTTCATTATAATTTTTTAAATTAGGATAAAGTAAAAAAAAAAAGAAACAATGCATTAAAAATACGACGAATTTGCATAGATTAATAGAGGGTGAAATAATGGAATTTAATGAAGTAGGATTAAAATAAACGAAATAAATGAAAGTATTTTACACTGTTTAATTAGATAAGATAATAATGAAATATCATCGAAAATATTTTACCATTTGCATAGGATTAGGTAAAAGAGAGAAGTGTAAAATTATTAATGGATAAAAAGATAATAATAATTTTATTATTTGTAGATAAATAATAAAAAAATAAGAATATTTTAGTAATCATGTAAATTAGATTTTCCATCAAA